GAAATCCCAGTAAGTTGATAAATAGGAAAATTTAAAAAACAAAAATTTTAAAAATCCAAGAATTGAACAACAAAAAAAATCTAAGCCTGAAAACTCAGAAAATCGAATGATCGAGAACTCAAAATATCAAAGAAAACAAAAAATCTAAAATTTAAAAATTCGACAAATTGAAAAATCATGGAACTGAAAAATCGAAAAGTCGAGATAGAGAGAAATCTAAAAACCTAAAACTTTAAAAACTGAAAAATTAAAATATCGAAAACTTTAAAAAGAGAGAAAACACATAAAAAATTTGAAAAATTGAAGAAACGAAATATTGCAAAATTCCAAAGCTGCAAATATTGAAAAACCTAAAAATGTAAGGAAAATTAAAGAATCGAAACAGTGAAAAAATCCCAAACTGATACATTGAAAAATTGAGAAATGGAAAAATGGGAAAAGCAAAAAAATTGATCTTGGAAACGTGACGACTGCATGCCTATTATGTTTTTTTTTTCACATTAGATTTCAAAGCATTCGGTTTTGTAGTTCCTGATTAAATCAATAAAATAAATTTGCGCATTCATTAAATTTTTTGAGTCACCCTGTATATCCGACTGCAAAAAATATGACTGGAATGATAAATTACAAGAAGAGACTCATTATATTTTGCACCTTTTAAATAGGCTTATTCGGTCAACTTTTGAGCTGCCGTCATCAGTTTTTTGGAGGGGATAAGCAAATATATTTTGACTAAAAATGTATATTCTTTATAAACTTAAAACATTTGCAAGATTTCAAAGCATTGGGTTCTGTACTTCTGATTAAATCAATAAAATAAATTTACGCATTCATTAATTTTTGGGGTCATCCTGTATATGCAAATCCAAAAAACATGAATGGAATGATAAATCACAAGAAGAGACTCATCATATTTTATATAATTTAGATAGGAGTTATGCAGCAAAATTTTGAGGTGACGTCATCAATTTTTTAGAGGGGATAAGTAAATTTATTGTGATTAAAACGGTCCTGGTTTAATAACAGAAAAATATTGTTCGTCTATGAAACAAGCTCGTCTTAGACAAAGTATTCGTAAAAAAAATATGTCGTAAAAAATGTACGTATGCTGGTCCCGACTGCGATTATGGTTTAAATATTTTTTAGATAATCCTGACATGGATGTAGAAACATCTGTAACAGCCAAAGAGGTTTTTTTGAGAAAATTATCTTTTAATTTAGACCAAATTGAAATAGACACTAGGCAACAGGCACATTTGGACAAAAGAAAGAGAAATTAGGGTTACGGCTTCAAATTTTGGACGCATTTACAAACTTAGATCAACTACAGCAACAGCTAAAACTGTGAAGTCTCTGTTGCACAGTACATTTAGACGTAATAATCATACATACTATGGACAACAAAATGAGGAAAAAGCTGTCAAGTGTTTTGAAATAAATAAAAATATTAAAACTGAACGGTGTGGCTTGTTTATTTCAAAACAATTTCCTTACTTGGCTGCTAGTCTAGACAGGGTTCTAGAGGATAGGAGTGCATTAGTCGAAATTAAATGCCCTTCAAAAGATTTGTCTCCCGAAGAAGCGATTAGAAAAAAAAATAATCAAATTTTGTACATTGACAGACAGAGAATTGAAACTAAAAAAAAATCATGATTACTACTTTCAGGTCCAGGGACAAATGCTTGTTACGAGTATTTCACAAGTTTATTTTGTTGTGTGGACACCCAAAGGAATTAATATAGTAAAAAACGAAGAAATATGTAAAAAGATGGCAGATAAACTTGGCAGATTTTACTTTGCCGCATTATTGCCCGAAATAATTGATTTAAGAAGAAAGAGGAACCTGCCTTTGCGAGAGATTTTTTTAAAATAAATAAAATTTGTTTCTATTTTTTTATGTACTTTAATAATTTATTAGGAGTACATTTTTCATCACCAAGACTTGCATATTTTTATCATAAATATATTTTGAAAATGATCTCTCGGCAAATGAAAACATACGAGCACTTTTTTCGAGTAAACAATGAAGGGAGAAGTTACTGGGCGTAGGTCTTTTTTAAAACACCTCCCTTCTGGGATAAGTAGTAGATACACTTAGCTCAGTGGTTCGCAAACTTTTATTATTGATGGCACCCTAAAATATTAAACAAAATTTGACGGCACCCTGCCAAGAACAGTTTTAATTGTAACTAATTTATTATCAAAAACACTTTATCACATGATTGTATAATATGTAATGATTGATGTTAAGATTGTTTTTATAAATATTTATTTTCCATAATTTAAGCTTGTCTTTTAAAGCCAAAATTTTTTACTGGAGCTTAAAATATTTTCATTTCTACCTTGTATACTTGAATTTACATATTTTATTTAAGTGTTCAAAAATATTAGTTAAATATGCTAGTTTTGTACACCAAACGTGGTCTTGAAGGAGGTCAAAAAATTGTTCAATACATATTTTCTGATTCAAAAAACGTTTACATCTGTTTTCTTAATTCCCAAAATCGGGAAAGAACACGGCCTTTAAACCATCTCATCATCTTTTAGCCATCTTACTTCAGTATGAAGAAAATTAACATGTTCAGAACACATTTTCCATTACTGAACAGTTGTACCATATTAATAAAATCATATCATCAATTATTATTTTTTAAAGTTGGTTTTGTGCTTATATTTATTAAAATCATTATAAAATTTTCACGGCACCCTCTTGGGGGTTCCGCGGCACCCCAGTGTGCCGCGGCACCCAGTTTGCGAACCACTGACTTAGCTACTTATACGTGTTAAACAAAAGCTGTATTTTATATATTTTTTATTATTATTATAAATATGCTTATTAGTTTTATTAATTAACAAAACAAAATATATATTAACAATAATATTACAATGAATTTTTAGTAATCATGTGTATTGAATTCAGGATCCTGATTGGAGTAAAAATATTATAGTTCCCCAGTTTTAATTCGGTTTTATGATAGTACCTCATTGCGTAAAAGTCAATAGATTACTGCGGCCGGTCCTGGCGGCTTGTTATAAAACTGAGTTCCTTGCCATAAATTAGAAAAATCAGCCGAGAACGCCAACAATCAGCTTATGGTAGAGCAGGCGATAAGGGTTTTACCTGGAAAGTCGCTTCCGTAAATTTTAGCGGCGCTCCTGTCGGCAAAGTACTGAACTAACGGCTCAAAATCTGTCGAATTGATACCCATTTTTTTCAATAATTGTTAGTTTTTGTTAAAAACTCTGCTAACCAATAGATCATTAATTTTCCTCTGATATTCCTGTTAAAATTATTCTACGTATTTTGCATTAATTTGTGGTATATTTTGATTTTAATAAACACATTATTACTCAAACAAATTGTACCACTAACAAACATTTAATGACTCTGCGCCCTGTAAAAAGTGATATTTTATCCATGTGCGAATTTTCAAGCGACTCAATGATGGTTATGACTCAAAAAACTTGAAAAGAAAACATACAATGGTGCTTTTTTACGATATTTCTCAGCCATATTTTTTTAATTGATTGAACTGGTCTCTGCGCTCTAGAATATGAAAAAAGCTGCAGTTTGATGTATGATACATCTATATTAATATCATTTTTTCATACAAAAAACCAAAAAAATGTTATACCTCGTCTAGCGAGTTCCCTTAACGATTAAACTCCTCACATGAACTGTGAATTTATAAAAAATCAAACAAATTTACACACGTGTTAGCGTGGTATTCACTTTTTGCAGTTGCCCATACTGAGTGGCAGTATTTCCACAAAATGGCTTTGGAAAAAAATAATTTATGACCTTGGTTTTCCAATCGTCCTTAGAATAAGTATATAAACTATCACATCTAGTTCCTACAATAAAAACAGAGTATAAGTTATTGTGTAATTATAGATTACAATTTCTCACCCATTATCCTAAATTGCCTTTCTTCCAACCACTTTTGTTGCTCACAATTGTTTGAATACAACAGGGCTGAAGAGGCGTGCTTCTGTTTAGTTGATAAAGCATCTCAGAAAACTCTGAAAGCTCTGAATTTTTATAGATAATGTCTAGTTCTTCATACCTGAAAAAAAAAAACAAAAAAAAAAGCAGCAAGAATACTAAAATAAGACCGTGGAGTCTCAATGGTACAGTTTCATGGTAGCGCTATTTTACATTACAATTTTGGTACAAGTTGATAGACGTGTTTTGCTCCTTCAGGACGTCCCGTGTCTTAAGGTACACTGATACTTCTCATTCCGGAACAGCTGAAATTACTATCTTAAAATTTTATGCGATTTTATAATATCTGTAACTGACCTGCCATACATCTAGCTAAAAATAATTGCTGAGATACGACTATTTCCATTGATAATGTATTGTACTGTAAATACCTATATTTTACTTGTGCAGAGACGGTTTATACGGATATACTTATGATGCTAGGTCATCAAGCCCCCGAAGTTAACGGACTTCTTCCAACCTAAATGTAACGAAAATAAATGTATTGTTTTTAATTTGGTTATTGTAAAAATACGATTTCGTCTTCGACTGGCCGTTTGTTGGAACATATAATCTCGAGATTGTGCGAAATGCAAAATTGTCTGCTTCCGGTAGTTTACGACTTGCAGCCAGGCAGCCACCTGTACAAAGAGCTGCCGCCTGAATTTTGTTTGGACAATCATCCCATTCTTATTAATGACTCAATTTATTTTATTGAATGATTCAAGAACTGTAAAACCCAATGCCTTGCCTTGCATTTTGGGATAGAAGTGTCGCATGTGAAGGAAATGGTAGGGAGCAGTTAGATAAATTTTTGTTTTAATTTCAAAAGTGATGTTAAATACTGAAGTGTATTTTGGGTTGCGTTCTCAATTCTGTCAAGCTCATGATTACTCGTAACTTACCTTACCACCTTTTCACTCACCGTTGAACCGTTGAAACATTAGCCTATGCAGGGTCTCTGTATGAAATCAGGTAAGAAAAACAAAGAAGTACTCAAAAGATAACACTACGGTTTTATTTCCAGAAGTTATGAATCAACAAAAAGATATATAAAAATAAATACAACGTGTGAGAGTTTATGTCACAAACATTAAAATTTATTCTGATAATGTAAAACTAAAGAAACACATGTATATAATAATCTAGTCCTATTCTTTAGTCTTCTTTGCAAGTGCAACATTACTTAATTTCGGTCTATCCTATACCATATGAAAATTCATTATTTATATTTTACATAATAAATAGAGAATATAATGCAAATACATATCAGACAGCATGTCTCGCAAGAAACCGCTTGGTCCATGTTTTATAAAATGATTTAACGTCCTGCTCGTGTAATTTGTTGTTAAATAACTGTCCACACACCACAATCATAAGCACTAATATTTAACTAAGACGCTTAATCCGCAGCCTTCGCATCACAAGGCGATGCGTTTTCGGCCGACGAATTGCTTACTGTCGTGGAATCAGCATCTACAAAAGAATCAAGAGACAATCCAGGAATGGCAAGATACACACTCGAGTCGTTCAGTTCAGGGAAACGTGCAACAGATACGCAATGTCTACGTAAACACGCACAGAAGAAAATGTACAGAAAAAGAAAAAGGAAAAAAAAAAGATGGATGTATGTACAAAACAGAAAATGAATTTATTTGCTCACACATACAAGAGAGAGATCAAAGGGTATGTGCATACTCGATCACCTTTTGTTTGATACCTTTACATTTCAAATTGGGCATATAATTTCCACATTACACAAGAGTATTCTACATACAAATAAAAAAATACCTATCAATTTACAGTGGACAACGATATCACGATACCGTGTATATACTTCGACACTATGTTAAAAACAGGCAGGCCTTTAGATCACGAATTACCTACTTTTACTAGTACTGGGGTTGCTGTTGCGCGAGTTTGTTGACCCTGTTGATGACGATGGACTCCCTTCTTTGCTCGGAGTCGCCTTCGCAGGCTGAGGAATTATCGTTATTTCGTCGTTGATTTTCAACGGTTTCATGATTTGATCGTTTTTATTTGTTGACGACGAAGAGTTCTTCTTATCCATCACGCGCTTTGCCACTACACTATGGGCAGAGTACACGTGGTTCTCGAACTGCTTGTACATGCCGAATGTAGCCGTACACACGGTGCACTTGTACGAGAGATGGGCAGGCTTCAGGGTCATGTTGTGGTCGCGCGCCACGTGGTTCAGCAACTTCCATTGATACACCTGCAATTAGACCAAATAGTAAGTTTGCGTCCACATAAAATTTTGTTGCCGATGATAAATTAAACAAATCTTGCGATAAAATTTGCTATACTTTCTACGAGTTTAATACCTCCCATTAAAGCGGCTACACCCAGTTTATTAAAAGTTAATTAAATATTGACGAATTAAATATTTAATACGATTAATTGTGGATTGAAAATCTGACTGGTTTGAGTAATCGCTCAATTAAATTGGTATTTTTTAATTTTGCCGTGCGCAAATGAGCCTTTAAAAATTTAAATTATAAATAATTTTATTATTTTAATTTCGTCTCATGGGACTCGCTACACCGTTCAATATTTTTCAATAAATTTAAGAATCACCAAAAAACTTATAATCGTGATTCAATTATGTATATGTATTTACATAAAACAATTAAAAATAAAATTACGTTTAAAAACAACACATTTATTACCAGATAACCCACAAAACTGATTATTTTCATAACGCTATAACTTAATTTTATTAAAATTAATATCAAAAATTAGTAACAATTATGACACAAATTAAATCTTCAACCAAAATTTATAGCAAACAATATCTAATAAGCACATAAAATTAAATGTTAACGTGAAATTTAAAACACTGTCTCAGATTACTCAGACACAGCACACCCTATATAAGCAATTAAAAAAATAAAGATGCATTGCTAAACCACAACACATAATATTTTGCATTATTTATTAGATTTATTAGGTAAAATTTCGAGATAATGTAAGCAAATTTTGGGAGAGGATAAACAGATATAGTTAAATTGTAACTGGATGTCTTGGATAAAAACCAAGACGGTTTCATAAACCACATCTGGAGGAGTATGTTATTTTATAAAATTTAAATAACAATTACTGTGAAATGTTTTGAGGTGACGTCATCACATTGTTGCTAGAGACAATTAAGCATAGTTTGGTTAGCACTTGGCCACCAACATGATGTCCAAACACATTTTTTTTTGTTTTTTTTTCTAATTTATTTTTTCCTGTTTTTAGTACCTTATCACTATTTTTTTAAGAGAAACTCCACAGCGTGATTTATGTACTGAAAACGAATAGAGATAATGAAATTTCGCAAACGCCATTGTTTTTAGCTTAAAGGGGGAAGCTTAATTTAGTATATTGTAAATATGACATATACCAGGTGTCTGGAAAATGGCGGACTAACTCTCACACACAATCACTATTAATAACTAGTAATAAAACTTTTAGTTAATATTTCTCTCGCCCATGACCATATTTAATTACCATTTCAGTTAGAATGTACAAATATATGGTTGTGTTGTTATTGTAAATATTTGATAAAATTCCATTTGCCTGATATAAAGCGAAGATACAAATCAGCAAAAAATCGAGTAAGCAGTTAATTTTAGGTCCCCTAATTTTCGGATAAATTTAAAGGAATCTGGTGTTCTGTGGCTGGATGAACTTGAAAAAATCTGTTGAGCTTTTAATATTTTGGTTTTTACGAATTTGAAAAAGTCTTGAGTGCCGCAGTGTTTTTCTTTTTAATTCGGGAGACTCTTGGGTACCCATGCTGTATTATATCTAGCATAGAGATCTTTTTTGTAAATTACTTATTACTAGATCCACCCACCCGCCTTCTCTTTTCTTAGAGTGCATGTCATCTGCCAAAATCAGTTTTATCTTAGCAGGTACTTGCCCCGCCCACCCGCCCTTTCTTCTCTTAGAAGGTCTCTCATCTGCCAAAATCACTCTTACTTTGGTAGCTACTAGCCCCGCCCACCCACCCTCTCTTTTCTTAGAGAATATGTCATTGCCAAAATTAGTTTTATCTTAACAAGTACTGATGACTAATTTTTACAAAAAATGATCCAAATTTTTAAACATTACGAGCTTACTTATATGCACAAGGCAGGAATTTTGAACATCTTCTCTAGTGTTTAGTTGATTATGCTTCAATGGATTTTTTTTGGTTTTGTTTTTGTTTATAATTTATAAACGTCTTTTTTGATTTATTTCTTAATGAATAACAGCTTGTTTTATTAATAATAATGCAAATGATTAATGATTACTGGTTGTTATGGTTATTGTTCTAAAAAAAATAAAAGATGGATTTCAGTCACCATCTTTACTAAGAAATCAGAAAGTAAGCCGGAGGTATTCACGCATCAAGTGCGTGCAGTGTTGTCAATTTTACTTTTATAAAGTTACGTTTTTTTTTAGTAATCTACATCATAAAGAATTTTTTACCGACATACATTTTTTTTTCAATTGCAACGTATATATTTTTCAACTAATTTTATTGGACAGAAGCTAAAAACAAAGGCGTTTGCAAAATAGCAATATTTTGATTGACCCAAGGACCTATTTTCAACAACAGTTTTTTGTTTATTGAAAGAAGTTGAACAATTACAAAAATATTCCCAACAGCGTTTTCGTATTTTCGCAAAGACGTCCTGTATATTTTGATTTTTTAAATAAACTTTATTTTGAAAGATATTAATTAGCGTCAACGAGAACACCTTAATTTTTCTTAAAGTGACTTTTTTTTATTTGTGTCATAATTTACAGACACACTTATATACAGGATGTTTCATCTAAGATTTAATCTTGCTGCCATTTTTTATAATTATGTAATTTAACGAAGGACACTGTATGACTAAAATATATTGAACGCCAAAAAAACTAGTTTCGGAACTGTTTTTGCGTAAAATTTATCGAACTAAATTATAGGTGTATTACTTTGGTCGATCCAAAAATACGATAAAAACCGATAAATCTTGGAATCTCGAAAATTCTAAAATTTATAAATACGTTTTTTTAGAATCGAAAAAAGTTTTGTGGCTCAAGCTCAAGGAAAATTAATAACTTCAATACCTATTAAATGCCGCGTGATTTTTTAAATTTCTGCTCTAGTTACCCATGACACGTCAGCACTGAGTTCATTCCTCCTCTCCCATGAAAATTTTGACCAATTTTCAACAATTCTCGGTAAAAGATTAAAACATGTTTGGTTCAAAATCACACAAACAAAAAAAAAAAACAAGCATTAGTTCAATGGGCGACTCTGGGAGAATAGTAAAAGGTATCGAAGAAATGAAGCCAAAACTAACTTCTGGAGGTCGAAATTTATAAGAAAACGATTTTACTTAAATTTCGAGAATTGTAAAATTGAAAAATTTCACTTTTGAAAAAGTTGCCAAAAAATTCCCAAAAAAATCTGGGACACAGATTTTGTCGTGCTGATTCCAAAAAACGTAACGTTCAGTAATTAAAAAAAATACAATAAATTCGGTGGGCGATTCTGGAAAAACTATCAAGGAATTGTTAATATGTCTACAACTTCTGAGATAGTAGAAACCTTGAAACCCTTAGCTATTTTGAAATCCCTATATTATATTGTATATATTTCAAGGATCTTCAAAAACTTTAGGGCCTGAAGAATTTAACAGATCTTTGTAATAATTCTTGGGAGTTTCTAGATTTTTGTATTCGGCATTTTCGGAATCGTCATGAACTTCAGTATCTTCAGTATTTTCAGAAGATTCAAAATCTACAAGTTCTAGGATCTTCAGGAATTTCAAAACTTCAGAGTTCATGACATTCAAGATCACCAGGACTGGAAGAAGTTTCAGTATTTGCACTATTTTTAAAAGTCTCTACAATTTTCAAAATAATCTGGCTTTTCAAGATCTACAAAATTTTGAAAAGATGGGCAAGAAATTCAGGATCTTTACAATTTCATATCTTCAAGGTTTTCAGAATTTCTAAAATTTTGAAACTCCTCTAAAACTTTAGAATCTGTAGAATTAACATCTTTGGAATTTCTCCAGAATATTTTGGATGTATAAGATTGTTAAATTATCTAGAACTTCTAGGATCTTATAAATCTCGGAAAATTTTAGCTATTTATAATGATTCCTAGGATCTCTTGGCTGCCTTTAGCATATGTATGTATCTCAAGGATCTTCAAAAACAGAATTTTCGGAATCGCTATGAACTTCAATACCTTTAGGGTCTTTCGAAAATTCAAAACTTTCGGGATTCTTGACCTATTCAACATCATCATGACTGTAAAAAGCTTCAGTATCTGCATCATTTTTAATGTTGCTACAATTTTCAAAATAATCTGACTTTTCAAGATCTTCAAAATTTTGAAAAAATAGGCAAGAAATTGAGGATCTTGACAATTTCATATCTTCAAGGTATTTAGAATTTCTAAAATATTGAAACTCCTCTAAAACCTTACAATCTGTAGAATTAACATCTTCAGAATCTCTCTAGAATATTTTGGATGTGTAAGATTGTCAACATATCTAGAACTTCTGGGATCTTATAAATCTCTGAAAATTGTAGCTATATATTTTGAAATCCTATAATCGGTATATTATGATGATTCCTAGGATCTCTTGGCTGTCTTTAGCGTATGTATGTAGCTCAAGGATCTTCAAAAACAGAATTTTTGGAATCGTTATGAACTTCAATATCTTTAGGGTCTTTTGAAAATTCAAAACTTTAGGATTCTTGACATATTCAAGATCAGGGCTGTAAAAAGCTTCAGTATCTGCATCATTTTTAATGTTGCTATAATTTTCAAAATAATCTGACTTTTCAAGATCTTCAAAATTTTGAAAAGATAGGCAAGAAATTCAGGATCTTTACAATTTCACATCTTCAAGGTTTTTAGAATTTCCAAAATATTGACACTCCTCTAAGAGCTCAGAATCCCTAGAACACCTTTAGAATCTCTCTACAATATTTAAGATCTGTAAGATTGCTTATAAAAGACTCTAAAGACAAAAGTTGAACTTAGCCCTGCTCCGTCCTCTATTTTCTTTCTTTCTGAAGTAAGGAATAAATCTTATAGCAAATAGTACAACAAAAAAAGTTACGATTTGAGCTTTTTTACATTTTTAGAGCCTAAATTCTATTAAGTAGTTCCCATCCCATTCCCACTCTCCAGAGCAGTGGTTCGCAAACTTTTATTATTGATGGCACCCTAAAATATTAAACAAAATTTGGCGGCACCCCGCCAAGAACAGTTTTAATTGTAACTAATTTATTATCAAAAACACTTTATCAAGTGATTGTATAATATGTAATTGATGTTAAGATTGTTTTATAAATATTTGTTTTCCATAATTTAAGTTTGTCTTTTAAAGCCAAAATTTTATTTTTTCATTTCTACCTTGCATACTTGAATTTACATATTTTATTTAACTGTTCAAAAATATTAGTTAAATATGCTAGTTTTGTACACCAAACGTGGTCTTGAAGGAGGTCAAAAAATTGTTCAATATTTTCTGATTCAAAAAACGTTTATATTTGTTTTCTTAATTTTCAAAATCGGGAAAGAACACGGCCTTTAGATAGCCATCTTACTTCAGTATAAAGAAAATTAACATGTTCAGAACACATTTTCCATTACTGAACAGTTGTACCATATTAATAAAATCAGATCATCAATTATTATTTTTTAAAGTTGGTTTTGTGGTTATATTTATTAAAATCATTATAAAATTTTCACGGCACCCTCTTGGGGGTTCCGCGGCACCCAGTTTGCGAACCACTGCTCCAGAGGAACAAAAAATTAACCCCGCCCACCCACCCGCCTCCATTTCAGTGATTAACTTTATCCGCTCCAAATGAAAGGTGTAACTCATACTGAACAAGAACAAAATTTGTCGTTGGAATGAAAAGAGGGCGGGCGGGTGGGACTAATACTTGCTAAGATAAGATTGTTTTTAGTAGATGATATATCCTCTAATAAGAAAATGATTGGTGGGCGGGACTACTGTTGGTTTATAAGACTGTATAAAAAAGATAATCTTAGCCCCGCCCATCCACCCGTTCTCATTTTTTCTTCTGAAGTACGAAATAATTCTTATAGCAAATAGTGCAATAAAAAAAGTTACGATTTAAACTTTTTTTTTTATAATTTTACAGCCTAGATTCGATTAGTTCCCATTCCATTCCCACTCTACAGAGGAACAAATAATTAACCCCGCCCACCCGCCCCGCCTCTATTTCAGTGATTAATTTTATCTGCTCCGAATGAAAGGTCCAACTCATACTGTAGAGAAACAAAATTTGTCGTTGGGATCTTATAAATCTCTGAAAATTTTAGCTATTTTGAAATCCCTAAAATCCTTATTTTGTGATGATTCCTTGGATCTCTTGGGTCTTTAGCATTTGTATGCATCTCAAGGACCTTCACAAACTTAGGGGCCTGAAGAATTTAACAGATCTTTAGAATTCTTGGGAACTTCAAGATTTTTATACTAGTTAGAATCTTCGGAATCGTTACAAACTTCAATATCTTTTAGGGTCTTGCAAAACTTCTAAACTTTCAAGATTCTTGACATATTCAAGATCATCAGGACTGTCAAAAGCTTCAATATCTTCAATATTTTTAATATTTTTAGAATATAATCAGTCTATACAAAATCTTCAGAATTTTGAGGATCGTCAAGAAATTTGGGATCTTTATAATCTTTCATATCTTCAAGATTTGTGAACTAATCAAAACAGTGACACTTTCTAACACCTCAAAATTTCTCTAGAATATTTGGGATCAGTAAGATTGTTAACATGTCTAGCTTCAACATCTTTATTATTTTTAATGTTTTTAGAATTTCTAAAATAATCAGGCTCTCAATAAACATCTTCAAATTTTGAAGATCGACAACAGATTCAGGATTAAAAAAAAAATTTTTAACCAAAAGATTGCAATAATTCAGTGGGCGATTCAGGAAAAATAATAGGGCGGAAATTAAGTTTCTGAAGATCGACATCTAAAAGAAAATCTTTAAATTTCGAAAATTGGCCGAAATTATCATGGTGGGTGAAATCATTCTGACATAAGCATCATGAGTAACTAGAGCAGAAATTTAAAAATTCGTCGTATATTATATATTCTCAAAATTTCGGAATTCTATATATCCATTATTTGCAAAGTTTTTAACTTAAACCTCGCTATTGTTAGGAATGTTCAAAACTCAAACGTTTATTTTCCTTCTCAGGGCATACATATTGTAACGAGTTTCGAAAAAAAAAATCCGAAACCATTGCAATTTTTTGCAAAATGGATTTTTATATTCCACGAAATAACAAAAAAATAATTAACCAAAACTAGTCAAAATTAGTGAAAAAAAAAAAAATCATTAATAAACTAGACCACTTACGCACAAAAAAATCTTGGTGCCTAAAATTTTGAACAAATTTTGGCGTTCAAGTTTACTTACCCTTCCGCAGACCGGACACCTTCCGGCGTCCTTGCTCTTGTTCGCCGCATCCTGCATACTAGACGTGACCAATCCGTGCGAACCCAGCAAATGTCGCTCCAGTCCCTGATCGGTGAAAAATCTAAATTGGCACTTTTGGCAGTTAAGAGGTGGCCTGTTGTAGATCATCTTCGGATGAATCTTCACTTTATGTATCCACTGCATGTGATTCCTCAATTGTTCTAAATCTTTAATGTAACCATCACAGATCTCACAAATAACGAACGAGTTCTTTGAGTTCGTGTCGCCCGGCTTGGATTGAATGTTCGCGTTAGGCGACGACGACGCTCGAGGTAGTGGAGTTATAGAAATGCTCGGCTGGTGGACAGACTTGTTCTTTGATTGGTTCTGGAACATACGCGGACGGGCGTTAGAAACGGACTACTCGAAGGGTCACAGAAGCTAGTTCTCGGTGAGGGAGCGTTAAATTAATACAAAACAAACTGAGCGAGTCGGAGATGTCTACATGATTTTTTTACGACCAGTGTCAATTTTTTTGAATCGTTATTTCGACAGAACTTCCCTCGCCCCTGAGGTACAAACCAACAAATTCCGCATTTTTGAAAAGTTAGTTATATTTTAGTTTTTTGATGACATCTATAAAGTTAAAACCAGTGGCGTGAATAACACTATCGCAGCTTTTTTAACTTGAATTCAGTTTTTCATTGTTTTTTTGTTTCTCAAGATTTCAATTTGCAACTTTTCATGTTGTCGGGTTTAAATTTTTCAGTTTTTCAGATTTTCAATTTTCCAATTTTTGAATTATTCAATTTTTTGATTTTGCAACTTTTCCATTTAAAATTTCTCGAGGTTTCAATATTTAATTTTTCAATTTTACGGTATATAACCCATTGAGTTTTCATTTTTAAATTGTTCAGTTTTTCGATTTTCCAATTTTTGTAGATTTCGCAATTTTTCGTTCAGGTTTATTTTCGTTTTTTCAATTTTTCGGTTTTTTACTGTCCTGATTTTATAATTTTTCTTTTTTCAATGTGGAATTTTTTGATTTTCCAATTTTTCAAATTGCAATTTTCGGTTATTCAACTTTTAGATTTTTTAATTTTTCGTTTTTTCAACTTTTGATTTCCATTTGTTCTAGTTTTATAACTTTTAAAATTTTTCACTTTTTGGATTTTACGATTTTAGGATATATCCATTTTTCAATTTTCTGATTTTTATTTCTTGATTTTCTCGACAATTAAGTTTTCAATTTTTCGATTTTACAATTTTGGGGTTTTCCAATTTTTAAGTTTCTCGATTTTTAGTTTTTCAATGTTTCAATTTTTCGTTTCTTCAGTTCTTCGATTTGAAATTTTTCGATTTTCCATTTTTTCAATTTTGCAATTTCTCGTTTTTTCAGTATTTAGGTTTTTCAATTTTTTTACAATTTCTTAGTTTTTTGATTTTTTAATTTTTCATTTCTTCAATTTTTTGATTTAACATTTTTCATTTCGGCTTTTATTTTTTTTATTTTTTCAATTTTCCGGTTTTTCAATGTCCTACATCATAATTTTTCTTTTTTTCAATGTGAAATTTTTATTTTTTACTTTCCCGTTTTTCAATTTTTCGTTTCCTCATTTTTTCTAGTTTTCATTTTAAATATGTACTAATAATTATAACTTTCAAAAATTTTCCGTTTCAATTTTACGATTTTAGAATTTTTCAATTTTAAAACTTTTTCTTTCATTTATTCAATTTTTCGATCTTGCAATGTTTCGGTTTTTGGCTTTTCCAATTTTGACGACTCTATAATTTTTTGATTTCATAATTTTAGGCTTTTGCAATTTTTCGATTCGATTCATTTTTTCTATTTTCCAATTTTTCGACTCATTAATTTTTTCGATTTTTCGAAGTTTTTCTCTTTTTAGTTATTCAATGATTCAATTTTTCTACTTTTCATTTTTTTCCGATCCTTCGTTTTTCTATTTTACAATTTTTCATTTTTGCAATTTTGGATTTTTCAATTTTTCGTTTCCTCAATTTTTGATTTGCAATTTTTCTAGTTTCCATTTTAAATATGTAACAATTGTAATTTTTCAATTATTGGATTTTTCAATTTTTTAATTTCTCGATATTTAGTTTTTCAAAATTTCGATCTATCAATGTCACAGTTTTTCTACTTTGCAATTTTGACGATACTATAATTTTCCCTTTTTATAATTTTTATTAAATTCTTTCTTTTTTCATTTCTTTAAGTTTTCGATTTGCAATTTTTCGTTAAAGTTTTTTATTTTCCCATTATCATTTTTTGTTTTTTCAATTGCAATTATTCAATTTTTCGATTTGCGATTTTCCAATTTTTGATTTTTTTTACGATTTGTAACTATTCCAGTTTTAATTTTTCTTTTTTTTTCTTTTCGGTTTTTCAACTTTAGATTTTTTAATTTTTTGTTTTTACAATTTTAGATTTTTCAGTTTCTCAATTTATTCAATTTTTGATTTGCAATTTTTCTAGTTTTTATTTTGAACATGTAGTAAAACTGTAACTTTTAAAATTCTCACTTTTTCAATATTACGTTACGATTTTAAAATTTTTCCATTTTTGAATTCCGCGATTTTTATTTTTTGAATTCTTCAATTTTTTCAACTTTCAGTGTTGCAGTTTTTCGACTTTGTAATTTTGACAATTCTATAATTTTTTGACTTTACAATTTTCGGGAATTTCAATTTTTCATTTGGATTAATTTTTCTTCTTTCCAATTTTTTGTTATTTTTTTTTATTCTTAAGTTTTTCGATTTCTAGTTTATCAATAATTCAAGTTTTCGTTTCTTCAGTTCGTCGATTAGAAATTTTTCGATTTTCCACTTTTTTGGATTTTGTAATTTCTCGTTTTTTCAGGATTTTGATCTTTCATTTTTTTCCGATTTTTTAGTTTTTCCATTTTTCTATTTTTCCACTTGCAATGTTTCCTTTCGATTTTATTTTCTTTATTTTTTCAATGTGAAAATTTTCAATTTTTCCATTTTTCAATTTTTCGTTTCATCAATTTTTACTTTTCCTTTTAAATATGTATGTGATAATAATTACTATAACTTCTAAAATTTTTCAATTTTACGATTTTAGAATTTTTCCATTATGTACTGGATTTTACAACTCTTTCATTATTCAATTTTTCGATGTTTACTTTTTGACTTCGCAGTTTTCGGATTTTCCGAATTTTCGATTCGTTTTTTCTCGTTTCCAATTTCTTGGTTCTTTTTTGTTCTATTTCTAAATTTCTCTTTTCTAGTTTTTCGTTTCAGTTCTTCGATTTGCAATTTTTCGATTTCTCAATTTTTCGGTTTTTCAACTTTTAAATTATTTAGTTTTCGTTTTTTTCAGTTTTTCAATTTTACGATTTTAGAATTTTTCCATTTTTTTCAAGTTTGAGTTCCTTCAGTTCTTCGCTTAGAAATCTTCCGATTGTCCACTTTTTTGGATTTTGCAATTTCTCATTTTTTTAGTATTTTGATTTTTCAATTTTTCGACTTGCAATTTTTCATTTCGGTTTTATTTCCTTTATTTTTTCAATTTTTCCTTTTTTCAATGTGAAAATTGTCAATTTTTGGATTTTTCCATTTTTAATTTTTCGTTTTGTCAATTTCATTTTTTTTGAGTTTCTCAATTTTTCTTTTTATCAATTTTTAATTTGCAATTTTCTAGGTTTTCCTTTTAAATATGTATGCGATTGAAATTTTTCAATTTTAAGATTTTAGAATTTTTCCATTATTCAATTACTAAATTTTAAAACTATTTCATTTATTCAATTTTTCGATATTTTTTATTGACTTTGCAATTTCGACGATTTTATCATTTTTCGATTTCACAATTTTCGGGTTTTCCGAATTTTCGATTCGATTCGTTGTTTCTTCTTTCCAATTTCTCGATTCATTTTTTTTTCAATTTTTTAGTTTCTATATGTTTAGTTTCTCGTTTCAGTTCCGCGATTTGCAATTTTTTGATTTTCCAATTTTTGGGTTTTTCTTTCAAATTTTTCGTTTCTTCAGTTCTGCCACTGGAAATTTTTCGATGTTCCACTTTTTCGGCTATCCAATTGTTCGTTTTTTCAGTGATTCGATTTTTAAAATTTTCCCGTCGTTTTTAGTTTTTCGAATTTAAATTTTTCAATTTTTCTATTCAACGTTCCGAATAAACAAAAAATGGAAAAATTGTAAAATCGAAAAATCAAGAATCAAAAAACGAAACATTAAAAACTTTGAAAAATCCAAAAACTGGAAATCAGGAACTTGAAAAACTGAAGAAATGAAAAATTGGAAAATCGAAATATAAAAAATTGAGAAACTTTAAAATCGAAAAAGTGCAAAATGGAAAAAACAAAATATTCAAATTTTCAAAAACATCCCAAAATCGGATAATTGAAAAATCCAAAAATTGCAAAATTGAAAAATTTAAAAATCGGAAATCAAGGAATTGAAAAATCAAAGTCTGAAAATTTGAAAAATTGAATAAACAAAAAATCATGAAATTGAAAGTAACATTTGAAAAAATAAAGGAAATGAAGAAACGAAAAACTATGAAATACAATCCACAAAATCAAAATTAAAAAATAGAGAAAATGAAAAATTAAAATGAATAACTTGAAAAATTGACGAAAGGAAAAATTGCAAAATTGAAACATCGAAAATCGAAAAATTGAAACGCAAAGTTGAATAATTTGGAAGTCGAGAAATTGAAAATTCTTTAAAACCAAAGTTGAAAAAACGAAAAATTGTGATATTAAAATATTAATTAAATAAATCCAGATTTTACGAAAAATTATATGATTCGATTTTGGGAATTTAATTTTTTGATAATAAATTGCCTCGTTTATTAATTTTTTTGACTCACCTGCATAAGTAATTCTAAAATCTTCTATGAGTGCATTGATAAACTAGAACTATATAAGTCAAAATATTTTGCATACTTCATCAATCACATTTCATCAATTTTTTGCAGATTCAAAATTATTTTACAAAATGTTAGATAATTTTGATTTTTTTTTTCAAAAATCTGAATATGTAGGGTAAAACAGACGACAGACTAAAACGGCAGACTTATTTTTTCGTACTCAAGGGGTCACGAAACGTCGAGAAAACGTAAAAGCAGCCAGTCAATACTTCCTTACGCTCACCAATTAAAAATGTAAACATCTTCGCCGCTTGTTAAAATTATTAAAATATGCTTTTAGGTAAATAAATAAGAAAGCGGTGTGTTAACGATTAGAACACAACACTACTTGAAAATTCTCTTAAAAATATGTGATTAAATAAAGTTATAAATGCTACAAAGCATGGTCTTTTTTTGATTAGCTGCAAGTGAAGGTGAAACGAGCAGGCAAGTCTGGCGTACCTGAATGGTGACTGTGCTAGAGGCGGAAGGTATGTTGGGGACGAAAGCCATGTGACCAGGATGACCTAGTCGTCCACCCAACTCCTGTCCACCCACCACCTAACACACATTCTAGCTTACTTTCAAACACACTAGGCAAACATGGTATTGATTTTACTTAATCTACACGTGCTTTGAGAATGTTTCCGTTGGTTTGAAAAACAGTGGGTGACACAGGGCCGTAATTACAATATGTACTAATATTTTTTCTTATAAAAACCGTAACTACAGCCCCGAACCACTCAAAATACACAATATTAAGACTTAAGTCAGACCAACGCAAGCCAAGACGCTTGACAACTGTAGCAACTTTCGTTTCTTTGCACAAAACTCGACTCAACATCAAATTTGATCTCCCCGACCCCCAAAAACAAAAACCGCAATCACCTGGTACACCTGATTCCCGCTGAGCTGGTAGTTCGTCGGCACCAAGACCGACCCCCCGCTCATCGTCTGCTTGTAGACCATTCCCGAGGGCCTGATCATCGCCTGCTTCATCGAGGCCGGCCCGCCCAGCGACGGCCTTCCCCTGCCCCTGTGGAGGGCGTTCGACGTGGCGTTGTTGTTGCTCAGGAGCTGCATCTTCGAGAGGAACTGCAACTGCGACGACTTCATCGCCTGATATGCGGAGACGTTGATTCCCTGACGGGCCTTAGGCACTCTCGGTATTTTGGCTGGCGGCTCCCAGTCTATGGGCGGGTCGAGGTTCCTGTCCGGCTTGAACTTTCTCATGCAGGCGACGAGGTGACGAGACAGCTTGCCCTTTTGGTTGTCCTCGAACGGACAGTTCGGACACTGGTGGAAGGAGGGGGCGCGTTCCAAGCGGCCGCGAACGGCGTGCTCGGCTTCCATGTGGAAGAGGATGTCGTGGGGGCTGCGAGCCTGAAGATGAATTTTTTTGTTAATTCAAAACATAAATAAATAAAAAATGCGATCGTAGAACGAAGTGTCCGACATTTATCGATACTTATATAACAAGTTAAGTGGATAATAATGGGTTATTATTAATTTTCTTACATCACAGATGGTTTAAGAAACGTTTACATGTGTCGATATTAAAACAATATCAACAATGACACTTCGCTATTTGATTTTAATTCGTTCATTGATTGCTGTTTTCACCCAATATCGTTCTTTATAGTGTAATTTATTGCGGTGTTCTGAATTAGCTAAAGCAATAAATCGAAACAACAGAAATTTCTGAGGGACTGGAACCTCAAGAACAAAATCCATAAACACTTTAACAAAGTTGTCCTAGCAATTAGAATGTTGTAGACCATTTTTCAAAATGTGAAAAGTAGGATAGGAAAATTGCTTAATTTATTGTTGTACTATGCTTGACCTAGATTTTTTTAATCAAAAGTGATCTTAATCCATTTTTTGAAATTATTTACATGTCCCTTGTTTATATGCAACCAGATAAACACATCAAATGGTCTTCGAATAAACCGAGCATATTCAAAAATTTTACTACAATGTAATAATACTTTATAGTAACCCTATATGTATTATAATGAGCATACGAAGTTATTAAGACTTCTTGCAATCATTCAGACTTGTTGACAATATAAAAATGTACATAGGACTTATTTTTGGTTTAAATAAAAAACATTTTTGTTTACAAAAATGTATATAAAACCGAAAAAACAGCTTTTGCCTTTAAAACAAATTCTACCGTCAAGATTTTTGCCTTCACAGGAATTATTTTTAATTTTTTTGGTTAACTATCCACTTTTTTAGTTATTGTTGATTAAACAGGGCATGTAAAAGTCAGATAAAATCATGAAATCACATTTAAATAAAAAAAAAATGAAAGGTTTTGTTAATTTCTACATTTTTATTAAATTTACGAAACCAAAAAAAAGTTTAATTTTTTTGACCGTTTTTTCGAACTTTCGAGATATTTAAAAATCCAATTTTCAAATCGCATTTTTCGAAAACCTTGGTCCAGGATGTTAGTTTTTCAAATTGCGTCGTCGAAATGTATCTCCCAGACTTTTGAGTACATTATTTATTTATGACTTCATTTCTTCGAAAATTTCAACAATTTTTCTATGATGAAATAAATTAATTAATTAATAAAGTCAGGTACTAGGCCCGCCCACCCGCTCTCTCTTTTCTTAGAGGTATCTCATCTGCCAAAATCAGTTTTATCTTAGCAGGTGCTAGCCCCGCCCACCCACCCTCTTCTTTTCTTAGCGGGTATGTCATTTGCCAAAATCGATCTTATTTTAACGGGTAATTAACTAATTAATTATTTTCTGAAGATGAAAACTGACAATTTGCGGGATACCTAATTAAAAAATTTCATTTTCAAATCGAATTTTTCGTAAATATTGGTTTATGTTTTTCGAATCAACTCTATGTGACTATTTATAGGCAACTTTTCAAAAATCTCAATTTTTCCATAAATATGATTTTTTTATAGTTATTCGAGCTTTCGAGATATAAAAAAAAAATTATGATCAAACAGAGTGTTTCCAAAATATTGTTAGGGGACCATTGACACTTAAGTTTTCGAGTCAACTCGTCGAGATCTGCACCCCAGAATTTTTGAGTATTTTTAGGCAACTTTTCAATATCCCCACGTATGAATTTTTGGACCCATTATTCAGCTTTCGAGGTATTTAAAAAACTTCGTTATCAAATCGAATTTTTCGAAAATCTTGTTCGAGATTCACTGACACATAATTTTTCGAATCGAGAGAGAGAGAGAGAGAGAGAGAGAGAGAGAGAGAGAGAGAGAGAGAGAGAGAGAGTAGAGATCTAAATATTTTCCGAAATTTTTGAGGAATTTTAGACAAGTTTTCAAAAATCTCAAATTTTAAATATGATTTTTTTATTTTTATTTCTTAATTTTCTCGACATTTAATTTTTCAATTTTTCGATTTTACAATTTTGGGGTTTTCCAATTTTTCGATTCGTGTTTTCTTCTTTCCAATTTTTATCTGTGCATTTGTTTTTCGATTTTTAAGTTTCTCGATTTTTAGTTTTTCAATGTTTCAATTTTTCGTTTCTTCAGTTCTTCGATTTGAAGTTTCTCGATTTTCAATTTTTTTACACTTTTTTAGTTTTCTGATTTTTTAATTTTTCATTTCTTCAATTTTTTGATGTAACATTTTTCATTTCGGCTTTTATTTTTTTGATTTTTTCAATTTTCCGGTTTTTCAATGTCCTAGATCATAATTTTTCTTTTTTTCAATGTGAAATTTTTATTTTTTACTTTTCCGTTTTTCAATTTTTCTTGTTCGGGAATCACTGGCACATAATTTTTCGAATCAAGAGAGAGAGAGAGAGAGAGAGAGAGAGAGAGAGAGAGAGAGAGAGAGAGAGAGAGAGACGAGATCTAAATATTTTCCGAAATTTTTGAGGATTTTTAGACAAGTTTTCAAAAATCTCAAATTTTTAATATGATTTTTTTTATCATTATTCGAGCTTTCGAGATATTAAAAAAAAAACATTATCAAACCGAATATTTCCAAAATATTGAATTTTTAAGCAACTTTAAAAAAATCTCTTTTAATACCCCCCAGTTTGAATTTTTTGAATCGCGCATTTTTGGAAAACCTTGGTCCAAGACGTTAGTTTTTCAAATTGGGGCATCGAAATGTATTTCCCAGAAACTTTTGAGTATATTATTTATTTATGGCTTCATTTCTTCGAAAATTCCAATTCTCGAGCTTTCGAGGCATTTCAAAAATTTCATTATCATACCAAATTTTTCCAAAATCTTGTTCGGGGATCACTCACTCATAATATTTCGAATCAGCTCGTCCAATTTTTGACGATTTTTAGACAACTTTCCCAAAAACTTTAATTTTCAGCAATAGCCGTAGAAATCTTTTGACCCATTACCAAATTTTCGAGGCATTCGTCGAAATCTGCTTCCCAGAATTTTTGAGGAATTTTAGACAACTTTTCAAAAATCCCAAATTTCCAGTTTGTCCCGTTTTCAAGCTTTTGAGACATATACAAAATTTCATTACCATACCAAATTTTTTTAAAATCTTAGTTGTAAATTAGGAACACTAATGTTTTTCGTATCAACTCGCCGAGATCTATATCCCAAAAATTGTTGATGATTTTTAGGCAACTTTTTACAAATCTTAATTTTTAAATACCCTCGTATATTTTTTTTATCCTTATTCGAGCTTTCAACTTATTTTAAAATATTCCATTATCAAACCAAATTTTTCCAAATCTTAGGGAATTTTGGATTTTTAAGCAACTTTTCAAAAATATAAATTTTTCAAAAAAACCAAGTATCTTTTTTTTCGTTATTCAAGAAAAAAAACTTAATTTTTTTCCAAAATCTTCTTCGGCGACCATTAACACTACTGTTTTTCCAACCAGCTCATCGCGAATAATATTCCAGAATTTCTTGGATTTTTAGGCAATTTTTCAAAAATCTCAATTGTTCAGTACTATTTTCGAGCTTTCAATATATGTATTTAAAAAATCAAACAGAATTTTTCGAAAATTTTGGTTATGTACCATCAACACGTTATATGTCTTTGGAATTAGCTCGTCGAAATATTTTGAAAATTTTTAGGCAACCTTTAAAAAATTTTTTTCTGTTAATAACCACTTTCAATTTTTTGACTGTTTTCGAGCTTCGGAGATTTTGAAAAAATTTAATTTTCAAATCGCATTTTCCGAAAACCTTGATTCAGGTTAGTTTTTCAAATCTTTTGAATACATTATTTATTTGTAGCTTCATTTCTTCGAAAATTTCAACAATTTTTCGATGATCAGTAAAATGAAAACTGACAATTTTTGGGATACCTATTTAAAAAATTTAATTTTCAAACTGAATTTTTTGAAAACACTTGTTTATGTTTGTCGAGATCTAAATCCCACGACTTTTTGACGATTTCCAGGCAACTTTTCAAAATACTTCAATTGTGTGAGCCACTGTCGAGTTTTCGGAAGATTAAAAACAATTCAAACCCAATTTTTCGCATCAGATCGTCATGATCTCTATATCCCGCAATTTTTTGAGATTTTTTTAATCAACATTAAAAATCTCAATTTCTGAAAAATATGAATTTTTTAATATGTTGATATATAAAAATTTCATATTTACATACATACATAGAATTTTTAGAAAATCTTGGTGGGGGACCATTCCTTTTTTTTTTAATCAGTTCGTCGAAACATTTCCAGAATATTTTGAAAATTTTTTGTCATTTTTTCCAAAATCACAGTGTTTTAATAATACGCCCTAGTTTGAATTTTTGACCACTTTTCCAGCTTTCCGAAATAATAAAAAAAAATCGAATTGAGTTCCAACAATTTTTCTAGAATCGACAAAGTGAAAAATGACAGGCAACTTTTCAAAAATCACGAATTTTCGAAAGATTAAAAAAAAATTAAAACCGAATTTTTCGAAAATCTTGTCTTGCGTATCAGGTCGTCATGATCCCGCAATTTTTTGAGATTTTTTAATCAAAATTTCTGAAAAATATGATTTTTTTTTTCGTTACTCCAATTTTAGATATATTTAAAAATTTTATATTCTGACAGAATTTTTAGAAAATCTTGGTTGGAGACCATTCGTTTTTTCGAATCAGTTCGTCGAAATATTAAATTTTTAGGCAACTTTTCCAAAATCTCAGTTTTTTAATACGCCCCAGTTTGAATTTTTAACCGTTTTTCGAGCTTTCCGAGATATTTAAGAAAAATCTCCAATTGAGTTCCAACAATTTTTCTAGAATCGATAAAATGAAAAATGACAACTTTTATGTTAATGAAAAAATTCCATTTTCAAGCGGAACTTTTCGAAAATCTTAATTTATGTATTTCAAATGAGTTCGTGAAGATCTATATCCCAGAATATTTTCAGCATTTTATGGTAAATTTTGAAAATCTCAATTCTTCAATAACCCTCCGTATGATTTTTTTTAATCAATTTTCTAACTTTCGAGACAATTAAAAAAATAATTTTCAAACCAAATTTTTCGAAACTGTTATCTGGAGACCATTAACACTTATGTTTTGCGCATCAGGTCGTTGTTGATCTATATTCCACAATTTTTTGAGAATTTTTAAGCAACGTTTAAAGATCTTAGTTTCTGAAAAACCCCCCTTATTCGCGGTTTCGAGACATTTAAAAAACTTAAATTTTAAACCAAACTTTTTCAAAATCTTGTTGGAAGACCATTAACACTGTTTTCGAATCAACTCATCAAGATGTATATCCCAGAAATTATTGGCAATTTTTCCAAAATTTTAATTTTTCAGTACTATGTAGTCTGTGGTACTATCCCGTACAAATTTTTTGTTCGTTTTTCGAATTTTGTCATTGTAATTTAACTTTTTTTTAAAGAAACCATAATATTTTATTAATTCTTGTAGATTTTTGTTTTAATTCATTGGTGTATCATGATGTGATATTTTGTTAAAAAGTTGTAACAATGATTTTAATTTTTCTGTCGAGAGGGCTACTTTATAAACACAATTATTTAAGTACAAATCTATTTCACGCCAAAACAGTCGTTAGCAAGTTCGAATATTTTTGAAGCTTTTGTTAATATTAACAAAGTTTTTTTTTTGCAAATATTAATGTTTGAAAATATGAAAGTACTATGACATGAATGAATTCAGAAAAAATCTTTAGAAAAATATATAGGGTGTCACTAAAAAAGTTGAGTGTTGTAGACAAAAATAAGTGAACGTTAAAAATTAATTTTTCAAACCAGATCACAATCAGCTACGGACTTCTTTTTCGAACATAACGTAATAAAGAATTTTTTGAAAAATAAGATTTAAAAAATATGGAACAGCAATTTAGTGCTAATCTGAATTTTTGATTGTACGAAAATGTAGCACATGATTTTTTAAGTTGGTACATAAGGGGAGACGGTGGAAACAAAAGATGTGAAAGACATAGGGCGTAGTTTAATTAATTTAACCTCAATTTGTTTCAGAGACAGTGACATTTATATAAAAAATAATTAAACTACGACCTACGACCTACGTCCTTCGCATCTTTTGCCTCCACAACCTCCCCTTATGTAAATGTCATTTGCAATTTAGAGTAAGTTTTCTACAAATTTTCAACTATGGTCTTATTTTACATTATTTAAATAAAAAAATTGCTAAACGGCAATTTGTACGGAGACAGCAATAAAATATATACTCTGACAGGACAAAAATTTAATCAAAAACAAATCTTCGCAAAATCATGGCTGTCTTTGATCATGCTTTTTAATTGTTCTCTGCAGACCATCACCATCATTGTAGAATGCCAATAAATTCGCTTATTTTTGACCAATTTCCTAAAACATGATTCCAACAACGAATTTTTTCGGTGAAATAGTTGCCTTTAAAACCATCCAAAATTATAGCGGCTTCATAGACTTGGAAATTTGTTCTAAATCTTTGAAACGCCTATTAATTAAATCGTTTACCATTAACAACAATTTTGTAAAAAATCCACGATTCTTTCAAGCAAAGATAAATCAAAAGCTTACCTATAGAAAGAATGTTGGTTGCCTACATTTACAAAAATGCGTTGCTTAAGTACTTTTCCTTAATCAGCAAGAATTAAAAAGCGTAGTTTTAACAAAAAAATAAAAATAACGCCCCTGAACGCAAAAACATAAATCGTTTCTTTTTACTATCTCAGTTCTAAGAAATAAAGTCAAAAATATATCTAATAGCATTTCTAAAGTTTTGTAAGATGAAATCAGTGGTGAAAACCGCGTTCCAAAATTTCCATAAATACCTGATATATTGATTTTTTAAAATAAGTGATGCAAAAATTACAACAAAATTAAAAAAATAATGTGATGAACTGTTTAAAAGTATATACTCTATGCTGTGACTCACCTCATAAGTACAAAAATTACATTTATAAACATAATTTTTCGTGTGCGGCGTTTCCAAATGGTGTGCCATCACCAGCAGCGACTCCGTCTTGAAATTACAGAACTCGCACTTCTTCATCGTCATCCTGAACGGTTCGTTATTCTCTTTAGTATACTCGAGATTCTTCATCAGCGAATAGATCGTCTTGTTCGTCGTCGGGTTCTGGCCGCCTTCTCTATCCTTCTTCTTCTTCTGCTGTTTCAGCATGTCCGCTTGCACGTACTCCTGCACCAAATTAAACCCTATGTCGATAAAAAACTTCCCTAGCGGACTGTCAAAGTACGAAAACGACCTCTTCGACGGATCGGCCATCGAGTCGTCTTCTTTGTTCGCTTCTTCCTTCTCCTTCTCGTCCGTATCCATCTTCTCGTCGTCGTTGTCCGCCTTTCCGTCCCTCTCCTCCTGCTCCTTCGCAACCTTCTCGGCGACTTCCTTCAGGAAGTTTTTAAAGTCCGTCACTGGCGGCTTCTCGTATACGTAGGGGACGATAAAAGAGGGCGCTTCCACCACGAACATGTCGTCGGTGAGGGTGGGCAGCACCGGCGCCAGCGCCGCGGGGTTGATACAGGACGAGGAGGAAGGGGCTTTCGTGAGAGGCGGGGGCGGGGGCGTCGTCGGCGCTGAGGAGTTCATGGGGATGGGAGTGATGGTTGCTCTCATGTTAGGAGGGTACATACCTTGGGCGGGGAGGGCCATCGGGAGCAACGTGGGATACGACTGGCTGACCGAGGGAGAGGAGGACTTACTCACAGGAACCGGACCGCGACCTGACAGTATAGAGTTCGTATCTATGATCACCAAAGTCGGCTCTTTTTTGTTACCGGAGTTGTTACTGTTACTCTTCGCCGCGATCTCCACCAGCCGCTTCGTGTCCTTGACGACGATCGTCGACGAGTTCGAGTTCAACTTGGTCTTCTTCATCTCGATCTTGTCGTTCATCGCGAGCGGGTCCTGCGGCATCACCTCCTCGATGTCGGACTCCTCCGACGAGTTCGACTGCGCCACCTGCTCCTCCTTGTCGCTCTCCACGTAGCTCTTGCTCTTGTTCAAGTTGCGGACGCTCCGCCGCGGCGGCAGCAACGACAGCTCGGGCTTCTTCTTCAGCGGCGTCGTGTCCAGCTCTATCACTTCGAGCTCGTCGGAGGGGCGCCGCTTATCTACGGAGCCGTTCTCTTTAGGTTCGTCTATGATCATTACGTCACCGTCGGCGTCACCTTCTCCCTCGCCCGAGTCGTTCAGCTCGATCGGCTCGTCGTTCTTCGTCGAGCCGTTCTTTATGCTGCCCTCGTCTTCATCGTCGTCGTCGTCTTCGTCGTCGATGATCTCGTGCACCTCGTCGGCGCTCTTCCTGCCGTTCGCGATCTCGCTGGCTTTCGAACCGCTGTCGCCGCTCTTCGCGCTGTCGCCGCTCTTCACGCTGTCGACGTCGTCGTCCTTCTCCGACTCGACGTCCTCCGGTTCCGTGTTGTCGTCGTCGTCGCCGCGTTCACTCTTCGTTTCGTCATCGCGGTTGGTGTTCGCGGGCGACTCGACTTGTTCGTCTACGTCCATCGACTCGTTGTCGGTGGTGGTTTGGCTTTTCTTGATACTGCTTTGGCTATCTTCGTTGCCATTTTCTACGTCCGATATGTCCCCGTTCAGAATTTGGTTACCTGGAAGTGGATGAGTTAGTATCGGCTAGAATGAACGACGAACTTGCTTACCTTCGTCTTTGGAATGCATTTCCTCGATTTCGCCCATTTCAGCTTCTGCTGCCATATCCACCTATGCACCTGCAACAACAGTTCTGAATGAAGTTAAAGAAATTAAACTACTGCATGGTTAGACAAGTTAAGTACACATCGTTCACTGCTATAAATCTGCGTAGAAGCACAAAATCGGTCGACTTTCAAGTTTAAGGGATGGGACACGTCATCGTTTCTCTGAAATAGGGAAATTTTCTACCTGCGTAACGGTACCTGTTTAGATTAGTGCCTAATACATTCATTTGCATTCATGTAACGTGTTGACCAGTTTATATTTCCTGTGTAATTGTTTGCGATTTAAAAAACCACCCCCTTCTGAAATGTGCTGTAACGCTACTGGTTGACAGTTCGTGGTCAGATTCTGATGACTCACTATGTTGAACTTAAAATGATCCATCTCTACTGAATATAAAGAACTTTTTCAAAAAAATATGAATGTCCAAAGTAAAAAAGATGATCGAAGGTAGAGCTTTTTTTTTGTTTTTTCAGTTTTTCGATTTGCAATTTTTCTTGTTTCTTCAATGTTCAGATTTTATAATGTTCTGTTTTTTTTTTAATTTTTCGTTTCTTGGACTTTTCGGTTTGCATTTTTTCTATTTTTTCGACTTATGATTTTCCAATTTATCCATTTACAGCTTCACGAATTTTCAATTATTAGATTTTTCAATTTTTCATGTCCTCGATGTTCTGATTTCATAATTTTTCGAATTGCAATTTTTTGTTTTTCCAATTTTGGATTTTTCGGTTCCATGAATTTCCAATTTTTCGTTTCAATCTGTGATTCGCAATTTTTCTAGTTTTCATTTTAAATATGTAATATTTATTTTTAATGGTTCATTTTGTCAATTTTACAATTTAAAATTTTTCCCTTTCTCAATTATTGGATTTTAATACTTTTTCATTTATTCGACTATTCATTTTCTTTATTTCTACTTTTTGTTTTATCAATTTAAATTTTTTCAATTTTTTGTTTCTTCAGTTTTTCGTTTTGCGATTTTACGAGTTCACTTTTTAATTTTTCAATTTTTCCTTTCTCCAATTTTTCAATTTACGATTTTTCGATTTTTCATTTTTCAGTTTTTTGAATTTTTAATTTCTTCATTTTTACAATTTTTCAATATTCAAATTTTTTGTTTTTTTCTTTCGATTTTTCCTTTCTTCAACTTTTCGATTTGCAATTTTTTTTCGATTTATGATTTTCCAATTTATCATTTTTCATATTTCTTTAATGTTTAGTTTTTTCAATTTTTCATGTCTTCAATTCTTCGGTTTTTCAATGTTCAGATTTCATAATTTTTCGATTTGCAATTTTTCTAGTTTTCATTTTAAATATACATATGTCATTATTTCGTTTTTCAAATTTTAGATTTTTCGGTTTCATAAATTTTCAATTTTTCGTTTCTTCGATTTGTGATTTGCAATTTTTCTAGTTTTCATTTTAAATATGTAATACTATACATATACAATTTAGAATTTTTCCCTTTGTCAATTATTGGATTTTGATACTTTTTCATTTATTCGACTTCAATTTTTCGAGTCTTCTATTTTTCATTTCGACAAATTTTCGATTTGCAATTTTTTGTTTCGGTTCATTTTCTTTATTTCTACAAATTTTTGTTTTTTCAATTTCAATTTTCTCAATTTTTCGTTTCTTCAGTTTTCCGAATAGCAACTGTTTATTTATTATTTTTTTTTTTAATTCTGACATGCAACTCTACGATTTTACAATTTCTCGATTTTTTAAATTTTTAATTTCTTAATTTCTAAATTTTCATTTCCAATTTTCAGTTTTTCGATTTGAGTTTTCCTGTTTTTCGATGTTTCAGTTTTTTCAATTTTTTGATATTTAGATTTTTCAATTTTTCAGGTCTCCGATTTTTTGATTTTTTAGTTTTTTATTTTTAGATTTTTTAGTTCTTCTATTTTTTAATTTAATTTACAATTTTTCAATTTTCTTTTTTTTTTATTTTAGAATTTCACTTTTTCGATTTTTCAATTTTTTGATTTTTGGATTTCTTGGTTTTTGGATTCTACAATTTTTCGATTTTTCAAGTTTCCAATTTTTAGATTTTTCAGTATTTCGATATTTAATTTTACGAATTTTCTATGTTTCAATTATTTTTCAGTTTCTCGATATTCTGATTTTCCAATATTTTGGTTTTCGATTTTTTGATTATTCAATTAGATTTTTCAGTTTTTCGAACTTCCAATTTTTCGATATCGGTTTTCCGCTTTAAAAATTTTTCGTTTTTTGAATTATCGTTTCCTTTTGCAGTTTTTCTGTATTTGGTTTTTTCGGTTTTTCAGTTTCTCTTTTTTTGATTTTTCAATTTTTTTTTACAGTTCTGGACATTTCAATTTTCCAATTTCCCAAAGTTTCATTTTTTGGCCTTTCAATTTTTCAATTTTGTTTTTTTTTCAGTTTTTCTACTTTACACATTTTCAATTTTTCAGTTTTTTGACTTCAATTTTCTATTTTTTTGGATTTTTTTGATTTTTTTTTTCAAGTTCTCGACATTTCGAATGTTCCATCTTTCGATTTTCCCGTCTTTCAATCTTCGATCGTTCAATTTCTCAAATTTTCGGTTTTTCGATTTTTCAGTGTTTAAAATTTTTCAGTTTTTCAGTTTACCACAGATCGTTCCAAGAATCAAAACCTTATTGAAACTGGAAAATTAAATAATCAAAAATCGGATTAATTAATTTCTCCGTTTTTCAGTTTTTAAATTTCAAAAATTTTTCGAAATTAATTTTTCCATTTTTCACATTTTCATTTTCTCACTTTTTCGATTTTTCAAATTTTCGAATTTGGAATTTCCGATTTTACCATACATATTTGGATTTTCCGATTTCTCAATTTTTCAAATTTTTGATATTAATTGTTTGATTTATCAATTTTTCGATGTTCCATTTTTTTTCTGAATTTCTCCATATTTCAATTTTTCAATTTTTCGAGATCAATTTTTTCTATTTTTCAATCTTTCGTTTTTTCAATTTGTCAAATTTTCGTTACATATTTCAGTTTTTCAATATCTATTCTCTATTTTCGATTTTTCATTTTTTTCAATTTTTATTTTTTTGTCGAATTTTCGTTTCATTTTTCAATTTTTGAATTTTTCAATGTTTCAATTTAGTCATTCTTCAATTTCTCGAATTTTCGATTTTTCAATTTTAATGTTAAAGTTTTCAATTCCGCGATTTATTAATTTTTTTAATTTTTCAGTTTTTGATTTATCAATTTTTTTATTTTTGAATTTTTCCTTTTCTCACTTTCTCGATTTTTCAAATTTTCTATTTAATTTTTCGAATTTTGAATTTTCTATAGTTCCATATTTCGATTTTTCGAATTTTGAACTCATCAATTCATGGACTTTTGATTTTTTCGACATTTCTAGTTTTCATTTTAAATATGTAATGTAGTAATAATTATCATTTCGTTTTTCCAATTTTAGATTTTTCGGTTTCATAAATTTCCGATTTTTCGTTTCTTCAATTTGTGATTTGCAATTTTTCTACTTTTCATTTTAAATATGCAATAATGATAATTAATTTTAAGTAGTCCATTTTTCAATTTTACGAATTTAGAATTTTTCCATTTTTCAATTATTGAGTTTTAAAATTTTATCATTTATTCTATTTTTAGTTTTACAATTTTTAGGTTTTGCAATGTTTCGATTCGATTTGCATTTTCTTTTTTCCAGTTTTTCGATGCATTTATTTTTTTCGATTTTTAGTTTTTTAATGTTTCAATTTTTCCGACTTTTAATTTTTCGATTGCAAAATTGTAAAATCAAGAATGAAAAAACGAAAAAGTACATAATGAAAATTCTAAAAATAGAAAATCAAGAACTTGGAAAATTGAAGCGAAAAATTGAAAATCGAAAAAACGAAGTGTGTGTTGTAAAATTGATATACATATTGAAAACTGAAGAAATGGGAAAATTGGAAATCCAAAAATTGCAAAGTTCAAAAATTTAATTAAAAATTGAAAAATCGAGGGAGTAAAAATCAAACATTGAAAAATTGAAATAATGAATAAACAAAAAATTATAAAATGGAAAGAAACATTTACAAAAACGAAAAATTATGAAATAAAAAACTGAAAAATCAAAAAATGAAAAATTAAAGTTGAATGAACAAAACATAAAACCGAAACATTGAATAATGGAAAGATGAAAGAAAATGAAAAAATAAAAAATTGGCCGAAATTTTTACTTAAATCGTTTGCAAGATTTGAGAACATTGACATCTTACGCTCAAGAATTAAAAATAAAAACAGATTCATAAACCACAGGTATAAAACAATAAAAGGTTGATTAATCGGAATGACCAGACAAATTTTGGATAACATTCTCTCGCAGTTCGAGAGATAAACAAACGGAAACGGGGACCTACTTTTTCAGACTTTAGGGGTTATGATAAGTAATTTCTTTACCTCAGATATTGCGTCACAGACTATTTTTTAGAATTTAAGAATATTATACCATTAATTTAAGGGTTACCATAATTATCCACCCCTTCCAGAAAATTGCTGACGTCAACTCAGAATATTATTAGATAAACCACTATCGAAAAATCCATCTAGGACGACCAGAGATTGTCTATTTAAGTTGAATAAGCGTGTTCAACCAACAAAATTGCCATCCTTTATCTCCCTCAGAAAATCACGTCAACTTCAATTTCAAATCCGTTTAAAGTACGAAAGACCAAAAACTTCCAAACTCTTACATCCCCGCAAACTCGCCATTTATCATTTTTCTCTAGAACAATAGCGTAAATAACTTTATAGAAACCGCGAAAACACCACCTAAACCTGTTTTTGTTTACCTAAATACACAGATAATACAACTCGGAGATTTGAAATCGCACTAAAGATGGAAATAATAAGATTACGTGCGACCTAACACGCCAACAAAATATGTTTCCTTTTTATGACAGAAAGATTTAGGCAATAAGAAGCACCATAAAAGCAATGTCTCCCATCAGCGCGCCTTCCGGTGTAAAAATAATGAAATTAATGCCAAAAA